TTATGTTGTCTTCATGTCACTGTTTTCCATACAGAGTTGTTTTATAAAAATGGGGGTAAATTCTGCAAGCTTGTGTATTCTTACACCAAAGCGAGCAAATACAGATTGTTCAGAAAATGTTAATCCAAACAGCCTTCAGTTCAGTCGGTTATGTGTATCTGATGAGACGCTTTAAACTTGTTTTTTTTTTTTTTTAATAATAAAGATATTCACGGGGCTGGCAGTGTGGCATACTGGGTAAAGCTGCCGCCTGCAATGCCGGATCCCATATGGGTGTTGGTTCCTGTCCTGGCTGCTCCTCTTCGAGTCCAGCTCTCTGCTGTGGCCTGGGAAAGCAGTGGAAGATGTCCCAAGTCCTTGGGCCCCTACACCCACATGGGAGACCAGGATGAAGCTGCTGGCTCCTGGCTTCAGATCGGCGCAGCTCTGTCCATTGTGGCCAACTGGAAACGAACCAGTGGATGGAAGACCTCTCTCTCTGTGTATTCTGCCTCTCCTCCTCTCTTTGTGTAACTCTAACTTTCAAATAAATAAGTAAATCTTAAAAAGGTAATTATAAGGGATGAAGGTATTTTCAAAGTTGTTAACAATAGCCTAGCACCTGTGTTTGCTGTTTTGGAGGTGTTATTATCCTTGTGAGTTATTTTAAAAACATGGAAATGTAATTTTGGCCCTAAAGTAATTCAGATAATGGCATGGTATTTATCAGTATCTCAGTCTCTTCAGTCATCCAGGCATCATTGCTAAGTAAAACTTGGGTAAAGGTACATAAAAACATGGATGTATGTACTTGTAGAATCTTAAATGCTGTCAAGAATTGCCTCTCCGCCTTTGGCTAAGATCAAGTGTGAAAACCGACAAGGGAGACTGGGTTTGTTACCGTGTATTTTCAGAACTTGTCCAAGCTTGACGAGTCAAGATGGCCTGAAAATACCTAAAGGCTTGAAAAGCTGCAAAATGTGTGAGCGAGTCATACACTGTTTGAGAGGAAAACATCTTGGAAGAAGTTTCTGTGTGATAAAATCGATTATGATTTTAAAAGAGTTTCCAGAATTTTCTACAGTTGAGTGTTCATCCCAAAGTTACACTGACCTAAGATTGAAGCCTGATCTGTTACAGCAATGAGGTTTTTGAAAAATGTATATAATATCTTAGTAACTATCTATAAATAGTCTTAAAATCGGATCTACAATTGGTAAGATCACTCTAAACAGATGCATATTATTTCACAGTGTTTAGAAATTCCATTTTGCCCAGAGACTTTAAGTTCTCTTGGCACCTTCAACAGACTTTCTGAAAATCAAGGTTCTGAATTCTTTGGACTTTGGTATTTCCAGAGGGGCCCCTGGAACCGTCAGAGGATATATCTCTCGTCTTGTAGAGATAATAACCCATTAGGCTGTTTGGATTATATGAGCAGTGCAGCCACGATGTCAATGATGCCAAACTTCAGTTATGAGCATGTTTCTTTTTCCCAGCTGCCCCAGTCTCTGGCTCACAGGCCAGATTCTTCAAAGGGGGACTGACGCAGTCTCAGTCAGCTAACACTGAATAGCCAGGCGTTGCCAGCTCAAAATGTGGATCAAGTGGGGTCCAGACAAAACAGAGGAAGTGTTCCAAAAGAGACCTGGAGACGATGGGAGATGGTTATGTGCAGATCTAGAGACCTGGGTTCCAGGAGCCCAAGGAGCTCTAGTGTCCAGTGTGAAAACCTGGAAGCCCAAGAACTTACTACATAAATGCAAAAACTCACTTTTGAGTTACGTGGTAAGTTCTAGTATAAACTTATGGGTTACATGGTAACACTAGTTAAACCCGGCAACCCAGGCCCATAACCCACTGGCTACATGGTAAAAGTCTGGAAGCCTAAGGGTGGCAGAGACGTCTGCCACAACTTCTCCAAGTAGGCGACGCAGTAAGCACTTGTTAAATGCCAGTTAAATCTGAAAGCCCAGGAAGTCAGCCTAAGCAACCAGAAAGACCGTATTCGCCGCCTCATTTCTCTTTTCTGCTCCAGAAGGGAAGTTGACTGTTCTGCAAGACTCTCCACTGTGATGTACGCTTTGACCCCTAGATCCTATAAAAGGGATGGCTGACCTTTTTTGTAATAATTCCTGGCAAGTAGCATAGCCAGAAAGTGAGAGATTAAACTATGAAATAATGTGACAGCTAGCCTGATTTTTCTGTGTGCGTCGTAAGTGGACAGAACTCCCCTTTTAAAACAAACGGAGGGGTGGGGCCGGCACTGTGGCTCACTTGGTTAATCCTCCGGCTGCGGCACTGGCATCCCATATGGGCGCCGGGTTCTAGTCCCAGTTGCTTCTCTTCCAGTCCAGCTCTCTGCTGAGGCCCAGGAGGGCAGTGGAAGATGGCCCAAGTGCTTGGGCCCCTGCACCCGCATGGGAGACCAGGAGGAAACACCTGGCTCCTGGCTTCAGATCGGCGTAGCTCCAGCCGTAGTGGCTATTTGAGGGCTGAACCAACGGAAGGAAGACCTTTCTCTCTGTCTCTCTCTCTAACTCTGTCAAATAATAAAAAAAAAAAACGGAGGGGGAGATGGGAAGTTTCACTGATGACCTCAAAGTATATAGACAGGTCACCATATTCGATCCGGCATGAAAGGTCCTAGTTCTCCTCATGGGCACTGTCTTAACTCACAGGGAAATACTAAGTGTTGAGTTTGCCCGTGACCACAGCTTTCTAGCTCACCCTGACGATCTTAAGGGAAATCTTCAACTATTCGGGATGGGACTGAGCACCCCCTTGAATGACATCATAGAGGCTCCCTCCATGGTCTACTTTATTATAGACTGGGAGAACGAGGAGCAAGCTAGGCAGAAGAAGCGACGTAAGGGTAGGCGCAGGCCCGTCAATGGCTGCTGTACACGGTGATCTGCCATCAAGGATCCCAGCAAGGCCAGTCCACCTCCAAATGGTACCTGTTTTTGATATGAGGAGCAGGGCATTGGGCAAGCAGGTGTCGTGACAGGAACAGGCTTCTGAAGAGTCCCGTCAGCTCTGCCGAGAGCCAGGCCACTGGAACCTGACCACCCTGGGGCTGAAGGGCTCCTGGGTCAGAACAGCAGACCCTGTTGGCCTCAAGCTAAGAAGCCCTTCAGCTTGCCCAGCTACTGAGGGGCTGGCCCACAGTCAGTGACACTGCAGGGAAAACCACAAGATTCCATCTAGACAGCTGCCAACTCTGTACCGGCCTCCTGCTCAGACCAGTGCTCCTAGTCCAGCCACGTAACGGGAGCCAATGGGTGCCTTCTGATGTCTCTTCCAGTGCCCCGTGGGTAGGTCTGGGCCTCACACATACCTGGCCAGGTCTTAAAGCCCACCCTCCTGTCAGTTCTATTTGACTTTAAATGAGTTAAGGGGGGGGGCTTATCATAGCTAGTCTGCCAGCACATTATTATTTAGCCCTTTTCCTCACCCCCTGGGAGAGAGGAGCAGCCCGAGAGGAGACAGGCCGTCAGCAAGTTCCTCGTTCTGAACCCAGCCCCGGCGTTCCCTACCAGGATACAGATTCCTAGATACAGGGAAATAGCGAAGTTCCCGAATCAGGCTATCCACAGGGAGCCAGAGCATAGCCCCTTCCTTTGGGAAACAAAACACAGCTTCCATCCACTGAAAAGCTGCCACGACCAGGCCCCCGGAACGGGACTGCTACACTCCGTCCTTCACAAAAAGCCAGGCCCTGGACCTGCTCACTGCTGCCCGGGAGCGTGTCTGCTCCAGAAATGTCTGTGGGTCAAAGTAGATGCGTACAAATCATGTTCCTACTTTCCTGGACAAGGCCAGACAACTCCAGGTCCAGGCTAAACAAGGCTGGAAAATCTGGCCTGGCCACTGCTCTTGGAATCCTGGCCAGTGAGCCTCCTCGGGGACGTGGCTTTTGCACTTGTCCTGCGTCTCTTTAGACGACTGTGTTGTAGCGCCCTTGGTTTGCCTCTAACAGAATACAACCCACCCAGCCTGCCCCGTCAGGCAGAACGATCAGTCCTCTGCACAGGGCTGGGCCATCTTTGCGAGGCCACCCTCAAACAGCAGGGGCAGAGAGCAAGAGAAGCACACCCATAATGAGCACCGTGCCCCTTTGTCAGTGCTGAAGAAACCACAGAAGATGGACCTCCATCCGTTGTGTCCCCATAAGATTATGGGTACCTTCTCTTGAGCAGGAATCGTGAGGCAGGACGTTAGGAGTTAGCCCCATGTGTGCATGAGAGGGACCTCAGGAAAGCAGGGGAACCCAGCATCTGCAGAATCTCACCCTGGAGGCAGCCCAGGATCTTGCCCTTCAGTCCCGCCCAGACCCTGGTAACCTTCCAGGCGGTCTCAGCCCTCCTCCGGAGGAGAGCACTCGCTCCTCATGGGTTCCCTGGCCTGGTAACACTGAGCAGTAAAACCTCATTCGAAAAAAAGATTTATGTATTTATTGGAAAGGCAGAGGCAGGAGAAGGGTCTTCCGTCTGCTGGGTCACTCCCCAGATGGCTGCAACAGCCAGAGCTGGGCTGATCCAAAGCCAGGAGCCAGGAGCGTCTTCCCGGTCTCCCACGCATGTGCAGGGGCCCAAGCACTTGGGCCATCTTCCACTGCCTTCCCAGGCCACAGCAGAGCTGGATCAGAAGTGGAGCAGCTGGGACTCGAACTGGTGCCTATATGCGATGCCGGTCCTGCAGGCAGCGGCTTTCCCTGCTACACCGCAGTGCCGGCCCCTTGAGCAATACAACGTTCACATTCTTCCTCCAAGGCAGGTGCCCTGGGGAGCCTCACTGCCCGGCACCACGGGGGCTCCCCAGGCTGACAGCTCTGAGCAGTGAAACCCTGGGAGGAAACTTCCCTAATTCACACCAGCAAACCCTGTCCTGCGGGGGAGGAGACCTGGCGGGCAGAGCTGGAAGGCTTCCCTTAGCCCGCCTGAATGCACACTGCGCACTCAGCTCTCTGCTGAGCCGCCCGCCCTGCCAGGTGCACTCTCTGCATTCAAGCATGTGCCCTCCCTGTCCCCAGTCTGAGTGACCGGCGCCTGCTCTCGGGTCCTGTCCACCCGGGGTGACGGCCGCCCGGCCCCATTAACCCTGCTGCCTTGCTCAGCACGGTTCCTGTCGCACGTCTGAATTCTTTCTTGGGTGAAGACGAGAACCTACCCCATCCATCTCCACTAACACTAAGGGCCCCACGGAAGGGCCACGCAGAGATTCAAGTGCGCCGCGGCAAGTGGCCTTGTCTTGGGGCCCCTTCTAGCCGGGCGTGGCCGGCTGCATCCGGTTCCTTCCGGAACCGCCAGTGGCAGGGCCACCGTTGCGTGTCACCTCTGCCAGGCCCTGGACAGATCGCAGGCACCAAGCCCCGCGGGAAGCAAAGCCGCGGAGCGTGGTCACTCCCACACCTGCGGGTCTGGGCACTGGCTGCAGCGGCCTGACCACACCGGGGACTCCTGCGGACACGGGAGGGGGGCGGGGGCGCGCGGCCAGGCTCCGGGTGGGGCGGCGGGAGTCCCCGGGAACTTCCGGGCCAAGCCCGAGTCCCCAGGCCAGGGCGGCTCAGGGCGCGGGGCCCAGAGCGAAGGCCGGAGCCCAGGCAGGGCCACCGCCCAGCGACCGCCCACAGGGCACGCAGCCGCCCGGCCTTCTCCGCGGCTGTGCGGCGGGAAGGGGCTGGACTGCCGGGCAGAGAGCGAATCAGCTTCCGTCTGCCCGCGCAGGGGCGGGGCAACACCTGAGTGACGTGGGTCCCCACCAGCCTGCGCCCTAGCCGGCCAGGGGCAGTCCCGTGGGCGGGGCTCCTGGGACACCCCGGAGAAGAGGCCTGCCCCGCCTGCCCTGAGGCTTCTAGAACCTTCCGGGCCTCCTGAGGCGTGAGTGGCCGAGGTGAGCGCGCTTTTCAGGTTGGTATTTTTGGCTCAGTGTCCCTGAAGGAACCTGGCGAAAGGCGTGTGGGGTCGGGGTCGGGGTCGGGGTCGGGCGCAGCGTCCCGCAAGTGAGAGGCGACGTGGCGGCCGTGGAAGAAGGTTCCAGAAAGGCGGGTGAGGCTTGCGTTTGAGGCCCAGTGGCTGCAGGCGCTGGGGCGGACACGCGGACAGCGGAGGTGGCTGCTGTGTCCCAGGGCCTGGTGGGTCTGTGCAGGGCCCGATTCGGGGGCGCCGGGGGCCAGTAGCTGTGGCTGACCTGGACCCCCGCCTCACATCCCGGAGCCAGCCTTCCGCGGGAGACCCTGCCCCCGGGGTCCCCGGAGCCCTCCCCCTCCCCCCCCGAGCCCCCCCGGGGTCCCCAGAGCCCTTCATCCTCCTCCACCTCCTCCCCTGAGCCCCTTCACTCGGGGTCCCCAGAGCCCTCCCCTCCTCCCCTGAGGCCCCCCCAGGGTCCCCGGAGCCCTCCCCTTCCCCCCGTGAGCCCCCTTCCGCAGGGTCCCCAGAGCCCCCCCTCCCCCCGTGAGCCCCCACCCCGGGGTCCCCAGAGCCCTTCATCCTCCTCCCCAGAGCCCCTTCACCCGGGGTCCCCAGAGCCCTTCATCCTCCTCCACCTCCTCCCCTTGGCTCGTTCACCCGGGGTCCCCGGAGCCCTCCCCCCCCCCCCCCCCGAGCCCCCACCCCGGGGTCCCCGGAGCCCTCCCCCTCCTCCCCCGAGCCCCCCCGGGGTCCCCAGAGCCCTTCATCCTCCTCCATCTCCTCCCCTGAGCCCCTCCCAGGGTCCCCGGAGCCCTCCCCCTCCTCCCCTGAGCCCCCCCCAGGGTCCCCGGAGCCCTCCCCTTCCCCCCGTGAGCCCCCTTCCGCAGGGTCCCCAGAGCCCCCCCTCCCCCCGTGAGCCCCCACCCCGGGGTCCCCAGAGCCCTTCATCCTCCTCCCCAGAGCCCCTTCACTCGGGGTCCCCGGAGCCCTCCCCCTCCTCCGCCTCCTCCCCTGGGCCCCTTCACCCGGGGTCCCCAGAGCCCTTCATCCTCCTCCACCTCCTCCCCTTGGCTCGTTCACCCGGGGTCCCCGGAGCCCTCCCCCTCCACCCCCCCCGAGCCCCCACCCCGGGGTCCCCGGAGCCCTCCCCCTCCTCCCCTGAGCCCTCCCCGGGGTCCCCGGAGCCCTTCCCTTTCCCCCGTGAGCCCCCCCCGGGTCCCCAGAGCCCTCCCCTTCCCCCCGTGAGCCCCCTTCCGCGGGGTCCCCGGAGCCCTCCCCCTCCCCCCGTGAGCCCCCTTCACCCGGGGTCCCCAGAGCCCTCCCCCTCCTCCGCCTCCTCCCCTGGGCCCCTTCACCCGGGGTCCCCGGAGCCCTTCATCCTCCTCCCCTGAGCCCCTCCCGGGGTCCCCAGACGCCCCTCTCCTCCTCTGAGCCCCCTCCCCAGGGTCCCCAGAGTCCTTTCCCTACCCCTCTTCACCCGGGGTCCCCAGAGCCCTCCCACTCCTCCCCCGAGCCCCTCCCGCGGTATCCCCAGAGCCTTCCTCCTCCCCCACCCCGGAGCCCCTTCACCCGGGGTCCCCAGAGCCCTCCCCCTCCTCCCCTGAGCCCCCCCAGGGTCCCCAGAGCCTTCCTCCTCCCCCCTGAGCCCCCCCCGGGGTAACCAGAGCCTTCCCCCTCCCCCGAGCCCCTTCACCCGGGGACCCCAGAGCCCTCCCTCTCTTCCCCTGAACCCCCTCCCCCGGGGTCCCCAGAGCCCTCCTCCCCTGAGCCCCTCCGGGGTCCCCGGACCCCCCCTCATCCACTGAGCCCCCCCCCGGGGTCCCCAGACACCACTCTCCTCCCCTGAGCCCCCTCCCCAGGACCCCCGGAGCCCTCCCCTCCTCCCCTGAGCCCCCTCCCCAGGGTCCCGGGAGCCCTCCCCCTCCCCCTCCCCCGTGAGCCCCCTTCCCCGGGGTCCCCAGAGCCCTCGCCCTCCTCCCCTGAGCCCCCTCCCTGGGGTCCCCAGAGCCCTCCCCTCCTCCCCTGGGCCCCTTCACCTGGAGTCCCCGGAGCCCTTCCCCTCCCCCCGTGAGCCCCCTGCCCCGGGGTCCCCGGAATCCTTCCCCCTCCTCCGCCTCCTCCCCTTGGCCCCTTCACCAGGGGTCCCTGGAGCCCTTCGCGCTCCCCCCAAGCACCCCCCGGGGTCCCCAGAGCCCTTCCTCCCCCTCCAAGAGCCCCCTCCCCAGGGTCCCCGGAGCCCTTCCCTTCCCCCCGTGAGCCCCCTTCCGCGGGGTTCCCAGAGCCCCCCCCCTCCCCCCGTGAGCCCCCTTCCCCGGGGTCCCCACAGCCCTCCCCCTCCTCCGCCTCCTCCCCTGGGCCCCTTCACCCGGGGTCCCTGGAGCCCTTCATCCTCCTCCACCTCCTCTCCTTGGCCCCTTCACCCGGGGTCCCCGGAGCCCTTCATCCTCCTCCATCTCCTCCCCTGAGCCCCTCCCAGGGTCCCCGGAGGTCTTCCCTCCCCTCGTGAGCCCCCTTCCCCGGGGTCCCCGGAGCCCCCCACCCCTCGTCCTGCCCGCACCCTCTGTTCTCCCGTGGAATTACGGGGGCGGGGGTGCCGCTGGTGACAAAGTGACGTTTTCTCGGCGTCGGTCCCGAGTGACACCAGCGTCCGGAATGGGCCTTGAGGTCCAGGGCTCCCGGGCCCCGGGGCGCAGCCGCAGTGCGTGGGCCCGCGGCTCTGCTGTCTCCGAACGCGCCCAGCTCGCTGTCTGGGGCCCTGTGGCCAGCAGAGGCCGCCTGAGGGCGGGCGCGCGGCCTGCCCGTGGCCCTGACGTCCGTGTCGCCGCCCGCGACCCAGCAGCGGCCGCTCCGTCCTCGCGCCTGAACCTGCGCTCAGGCCGTGTGCTGGCCGCGCGTCCCGGCGGGTGGCTCCCTCCAGGTCCTTCTTCCCCACCCCTGGCTGTTTTAAAGAGAGGGGGTTCAAGCCCAGCTCAGCCAGGGGGGTTTTGAAACCACTTGCTCCAGGAACCGGACATCTGCTGTGGAAGAGTGCAGCGTCCAGGGGAGGTCTGAGGGGTTACAATATAAGAGCCGTCCTGCTGTAGCAATGAGCAGAGACCCCTGTCTGCTGACAGCAGGGCAAGCCCCACGGTGTTGGACGGTCACTGCTGCCCAGGAGTCGACTTGGCTTGAGGCCTGTACAGACCTGAGGTCCCGTCTGGCTGTTCGCCTGCCTCGGGACAGGGCTGGTAGCCGCGGGGTGGGTGTGGACCTTGTGTTCTAGGCGCTTGCCTCTCCCCTAGAGAAGCCTTCTGCGCACGGGCACATAGAAGATGCCCGAGAGAACAAGTTGGTTTGAAAAGTGAGACGGTAAACACAGGTGAGCGCGAGCTGCTCACGGAGATCCCTGTCAGGGTGCAGAGGGCCGGCAGGAGACCAGGGGTGCAGGAGGGGAAGCAGAGGGAGAGAGCACCCAGCACCTCCTCCAGTAGTGTTCTCTGGTGGACGAGAGCTCTCTCCTCAGCTGCTGGCCTCTTGTGTGAGGTTGGGGGTCACTCTGTGGGCACAAAGCTACCTGGGAGTTGTGTGATCCCTCTGTAAAAGTCCATGGAGATCTCAAAATGCCTGGCATCTCTCCCAACTCCCACCCAAGTGCCTTATGGTGGAGATGCATCCTGGGAAAGGGGGCATTATGATTGACAAGTAGGAGGGCACACTGGGCAGAGGGGAGTGGCTTGTGACTTTCAGCTCTGTGGTCCTCACCTGGCTCCCTGCCTATCCTGTCCCATATCAGTAGGAGAGAGAGACAGCAAGTTGTCCTACCCTGTGTCCACCCCGGCCATTCCTAAGCTGGCTAGGACAGGTGTTGGGGGATGGATCTTTCTTGGTGAATATTTGTGGTTAGAGGAACCAGCAGAGATAGGTTATCGAGGGTCATGTGCAAAAGATGAAGTCCCAGTCCAGTTACTGGGGAAGTGTCACTGGGGAAGCTGTGATGTTCTTGTCTTCACACAAGAAAGAATGCAGGTGTGAGACAGAGAGCAGGGTGATGAGGGTTTATTGGGGACAGATCATCCATCAGAACGGAAGGGATGGAGAGAGAGAGAGAGCGCTCGGTCACTGGGACTGGGGAGAGCGAGGGTACATGGTTGAGTGGAGAGAACACACCTGGGCAGGCCAGGCGGGGGCTCAGCAGAGAGCAGAGGGCTGAGCGCAAAGTCTGTTTGGACTCCCTAGGTTTTTAAGGGAGTCTGTTTACCCACCTCCAGGACAAAGGACAGAGAGTCCTGGCGGAAGGGTTTGTTGGGGGAAAATTAGCAAATTCCTCCCCAGCAAATTCCTCTGCCCAGGAATTGCTGGCCTGGGCAGAATAGGGGGGCTTCCCTTAGGGCCTCTGAGAAGGTTTTATTGCCCCCCTTGTTATCAGGTCAGGTAGCCCCTTTGGTCCTGAGGAGAGAATTCTCCTGGGAGCTGTCCTTGGGGGGAGGGCTGGGAGCACCTGGGAGGTCATCAGGGTCTGGGCAGGACTCTGAAGTGGGAGACGCTGGGCTTCTGGGGCTTCCCAGTAGGTGCTGGGCTTCAAGCCCTTCTCACACACACAGAGGCTAAAGTTCTGACTTCCTAACAACTTGAGCAGAAAAAAGTGTCCCTTTGCACTTCTTTGTTTTTCTTTCAGCTAGTCATAGCTGCCTGGAGAGGGTGGGGCACAGTTGCGAGAAGGGATGGAAATGTGGTGAGGGAGGGCAGCCACCCCCCCCCCACACACAACCCCCCACTCCCCCACCCCACAGGCAGAAGCTGGGGATGAGGGAGATAGCTGATGTCCTCATTACCCCTGGCTTCACACACCAGCACCACAGAGCATGGGTTGTGTCTAGTAAACAGCCATGGAGGATGGGCCCACACTGTAACTGCTCCCATTAACCCCGTGCATAGTGTAAGTGTTACCAGTGAATGGCAGGGTTCTTGTCTTCGTGCAAGAAAGAATTCAGGCATGAGACAGAG